CGAAGAGCATCAGCATCAGACTGGAGACTAAGGTGCACCTGATCCGGCCTATAATCTTCACAATTGTGTATTATGCATTGGAAAGCAAGATAGTGACTAGGGGTTATAGAAAGATAATAGATGCCTTTGAGCTGTGCTGCTGGAGAAGAGTGTTGACTATGCCATGGACTTCTAGGAGAAAAAATAGATTTGTCCTGGAGAGAGTGAAGCCAGGCTGCTCCTTGGAGGGAGGGATTTTGAAGTTTCATCTGACATACTTTGGGCATGTTGCAAGGAGGCATCTGTCCTTGGAGAGGGACATCATGTTTAGGAAAGTGGAGGGATGATGCAGGAAAAAAGACTCTCAATGAGATGGATCAACTCAGTGATTGGGGCAGTGGGAGTAGGTGTGTTGGAGACAATGAGGTTGGCACAGGATAGAACAGGATTCAGGACTCTTGTACATAGGGTTTCTATGAGTCACAAGTGACTTGACGGCACATAACAGCAACAACAACAACAACTTTAAAGTATTTCAAATTTGTTTAACTGTTTCTTCCTTATTCATTACATTGCATGTACCATTAGATATCTGAATTAAAATTCATTTCTTTTAAATTTGATTGTTCTATTTTATATCTATATGATTACCTTACCAATTAAACACATGTAAATTTCAGTTTTCTGAAGGTTTCAAATTTTACAGATTGCTTTAAAATTTAAATCATATATACTTGCATTGATGTTATGTCAGTTATACAAAAGTTCCATAAGAGTGGTGTTCTTATATATTTGCCATGTTTCTTTCTGATAGAAACATCAAAGTATAATTTCTGTGTCACACAGCAATGAATGTAACTTGTCAGCTATTGCAGTATCCCCTTCTTTAGATTTTACAAACACTTCTTTTCCTTGAGAAAGGAATAATAGGGCAAGATTCTAATCAAAATGTTAATGTGTTATATTTTCAAGCACAAGAATACTTATAATTTAATTGGTGAAAACTAATTGATTGGTTTTTAATTTGAAATTTTCTTTTTATGGGTAAGATGAACACTTCTCATATTTCTGAAAGTCTCCAATGTTTCCTTTTTCTCTAAATATTAGTTAACATATTTAAGCTATTTTTGTATCATTTTACTAGTTTTCATCTCATCTGATTTATAGGGATTTGTGTAAAATGGTATCAATTATTTGCCTATGAAACAGAAATTATTTTCTAGTTTGTCATTTGTAACTTACTTTATGATATTTTATTTCACCACTTTTGTTATTTTATTTTTAATTACCTTATATTTATCTCAGTACAAAATATAATAGCTATAAACTCAGAATTACTATTTCGTTAAAGTTTTTCTATGTTTTTCAATATGAAGAAAAATACTTGAGTTTGTAGTTTACAGTTTTCGGCAGAAAAACCCTCATTGCACAGTAGATTGAGGCTATGAGAATTTAAGTTAACAAAAACACTTAGCTTAAAAATAATTATATGTTAGCATTGCTAAAGTGAAACTATTTGTCCAAGCATATTTCCCAAGTTATTGTGTAAAATTCTCTATCCAACATTTATCAAGACTCTTCCATTGTCAAAGAAAACAGAGAGTCACAAGGAACTGAGAGAAGAGGTAGGTCAGTGTAAGACAGAATCATTTTTCTTTTTTAACAGGTCACTTTTCAATATCTAAAGAAATGAGAGGGGAAAAAAAGAAGAACTTGACATTTATTTCAGGATCAGCAAAGTTCAGAGTCACATCATGACCGTCCTATCATTTGCAATTTATCCTGAGACACATCACGTAGAGTGTATGTACTCATACGAACAATGAGACGGAGGTTTCTGTCAGGCCTCATGATATTTCTTGATTATTTCATTGAATTTAAAAAGAGAGCAATTTTCATTTCAAGGACGTGTACACACTCTGCTCAATGTTTTAAAATATTTTTTGTTTATTATTTTGCAACTAATGGTAAAAACTTTAGCATTTTATAATTGACACATTTGAACAAGGATTTGAATAAAAATATATGCAGTAATATACTGAGAAATGGAAACAATTAATTTTTATTCATTTTTTATCATTAAACTATTTATATCCAGATTTATTGATAGTTTTATTCTTATTTTAGAAAGTAATAGAACGTAAGTGCAATTCTTTTAATCTTGAAATAGAAACTTGAATTTTTCCATTTGAAAAATGAGAAAACTAAAAGTATAAATTTGTGAAATTTGCTATATCATGTCACTAATGATGACTTAATTTGAAATTGAATGAATATTGAAGATCCTAGATGTCAGGGACTGAACTCCTTAGTTTCACATATTTCCATTCTTCTTCTTATTATTATTAGTATGAAAGACAAATAATTTCTTTTCTGGAACAATACTTAATTTCTTTGTAGTAGCTCCAAGATACCTGCCTGACTCTTAATTCCATCACACCTGACTCAACAAGGCATTCTGCATCAAGTGTAATAAAAATGACATTGGTGAGACAGATGTAGACAGGAAGGACTTAGAATCTTTGCTTGTCTTTGAACAGGGCCAAGTGCCAGGAGACTTGGCCTAGTTAAGCAGTAAGAGAAATTTGAGGCAGACATACTGAGTTTGATATGTTTTTGAAAAGTGCTGGAAAGTTCACTGAAGCATTTGCTTTTGCTCTCCAGAAAAAAAATAAGTCATTTTATAGTATATATATATATATAAATATAATATCATTATAAATATATTTATTATGCTAATAAGTAAAATGTTCTCCTTGTTGTTAAGTGCCACAAGTAGCATAAGACTTAAAGTGATCCTATGAACAATACATCTGAACCCTGTCCTATCCTGAGACACTCTTATTATTCCCAACATATTTGAGCCCATTACTGTAGTCACTATGTATTTAATCAGTCTTTATGGTGGTTTTCCTCTCATTCATGGACTTTTCCAAGCACAAAAGGTATCTCCAAAGAATAGATTGCTCTAGTAGCATGACAAAATCACGTTAGTCAAACCTTTACTGTCCTCATCTCTGTGGAACACTTTTGTGACAACTTCTCCAAGACTTCTGTTTGTTCTTAGTCCATGGGGTATTCACCACAATTCTCAAAGGCATTGATTCTTTTTCTGTCATCTTTGCTTGTTACCCAGTTCTTACATGCATAATAGGTGGTTGGGAAAAACAAAACAAAACAAAACAAAAAAAAACAACACCACCATTGCTTGAATTAGATGCACCTTATCCTTTAAGCTGACATCATTGCTCTTCAGGACTTTGGAGAAGTCCCTCACAGCAGACTTTCTCAATGTTATACACCTCCTGAATACCGGTGTCAAGGATGTTGATTATGGATGCAAGTAAGAAGAAATCATGGGCAGTTTGAACCCTATCTCTATCTCTGTGTTGTTGCGTATTAACCAAGTGGTGAGAAACGTGTTTTCTTGATGGTGAAATGTAATCTATATTGAAGCTGTATTCCTGGATCTTCTTCAGCCTCAAGTCTTCCTCGCTTTCAGCAAGCCAAATTGTATCATCTGCATAACACGAATTATGAGATAATTAGTAATCTTCTAATCTTGATGCCACATTCTTCTTCATAAAGTACAGCTTCTCAATTGATTTGCTTGGCATGCAGATAGAAAAGATATAAACAAAGGATACAGAGACACAGAGCCAGAGACACAGCTTTCTTCATTTTAAACCATGAGTATTCCCTTGCTCTGTTCTGACGAATGCTTCTTGGTCTACATATAGATATTGCATAAGCATGATTGTTTAGGACATTCTCATATGGTTCATCTAAAACCATCCAGCCTTTGGGTCTCTCAGCCTGAAGGCTTCCAGACCAGAAGCTAGCACTAGGAACACTTCCTGATGCACTTCCTCAAACAGAACTAGAGAGGGCTGTCCTGTCCTGCACCATTATATTTCTATACATGATTGTTTTGCATGCATGCTGGTTGAGGTACAATACCTATCTGTAGGTTCACTGTATTATCGGAGTGTTAAACTTATTTGTTCATTTATGCCCACATTCCTCACTTTCCAGTGCCTGAAATTCCCCTTGTAAAGCTATTGTCATATCGTTTTTGTCATCTATTCCTAGCAGAATGTCTTTTGTTTCACTCATCCCAGTACAGTATTTATTATCTACCCATTCTTTTCCTGCCTTCCTCTCTTCCCTCTTGATGTTATTATTACAATAAAGGACGAATGCAGTATTTGCTCTTTTGTGACTATTTCACCCAGCATGTTTTCCAGACTCATCCACTTGAATGAGGTTTTATGAGTTCTTTATGTTTAAATGCTATGTGGTATTCCACTGTGTGAATAGTTTCTTCTACCTATTTAACAGTTTCTTTCAAAGAGCTCTTAAGGCTTAGTGATGAGGAATTACACTACTAGCACAAAGGTACCCCATTCAAATCCTCCTGCTACCCTGCAAGAGAAAGATGGGCGGTCTCCTCCCATGAGATTTACTGCCTTTGAAAACTCACTAGAAGGTCAACTATAGGTAGGTCCCAACTTGATGGTAAAGATAACAACAAAAACTTGCTTTACAACTTAAGAGCCTAAAAGCTTCTTCACTAGTGGTTGCTATTATTAGTATATTTTACTATAAGTTTGCTGTATTGGATGACTTATGGGTTTCTATGATGCTAGAAGCTATGGCACAGGTATTTCAAATACCAGAAGAGTTGCTCATGGTAGAAAGATTTCAACAAAGCTTCCAGATTAAAACAGACTAGGAAGCAGAATTGGCCATCCATTTCTGAAATAGCAGGTCTTCCAAAAGCCTATGAACTAGAGAGGAACACAGATAACTATCATATTAAAGGTTAAGCCCAGGTGAGGATTAAAATATTCAACATAGAGAACGTCAGCCTCCTCTCCCTCCCGGGCATTCCTTTTCCCTCGCGTCCCGCCCCCTCTGGGCGGGGCCCCGATGGAGCCCCTTACGCACTTATGACGCACTTCCGGTGATGTTACTGCCTGGCGGCAGCACAGGTGGCAGGCCTCACTTCTGCTCTGGGCGCGCTCGCTCCGGTCGGAGATCATGGCGGCTGCGGCCACGATGGCGACCTCGGGGTCTGCGCGGAAGCGGCTGCTCAAGGAAGAAGACATGACAAAGGTGGAGTTCGAGACCAGCGAGGAGGTGGACGTCACGCCCACCTTTGACACCATGGGCCTGCGGGAGGATCTGCTGCGCGGCATCTACGCCTACGGTTTTGAAAAGCCATCAGCAATTCAGCAGCGAGCCATCAAGCAGATAATTAAAGGGAGGGATGTCATTGCTCAGTCTCAGTCTGGTACCGGCAAGACGGCCACTTTCAGTATTTCTGTCCTCCAGTGTCTGGATATTCAGGTCCGGGAAACCCAAGCTCTGATTCTGGCTCCCACGAGAGAGTTAGCTGTGCAGATTCAGAAGGGCCTGCTTGCTCTTGGCGACTACATGAACGTCCAGTGTCACGCCTGCATCGGGGGCACCAACGTGGGGGAGGACATCAGGAAGCTGGACTACGGGCAGCATGTCGTCGCTGGCACACCTGGCCGCGTCTTTGACATGATCCGGCGCCGGAGCCTGAGGACACGAGCCATCAAGATGCTGGCCTTGGATGAGGCCGACGAGATGCTCAACAAAGGTTTCAAAGAACAGATCTATGACGTGTACAGGTACTTGCCTCCGGCCACACAGGTGGTGCTCATCAGTGCCACGCTGCCCCACGAGATCCTGGAGATGACCAACAAGTTCATGACCGACCCCATCCGCATCTTGGTGAAACGTGATGAACTGACCCTGGAAGGCATCAAACAGTTCTTCGTGGCTGTGGAACGGGAAGAGTGGAAGTTCGACACCCTGTGTGACCTGTACGACTCGCTGACCATCACGCAGGCGGTCATCTTCTGCAACACCAAGAGGAAGGTTGACTGGCTGACGGAGAAGATGCGAGAAGCCAACTTCACTGTCTCCTCCATGCACGGCGACATGCCCCAGAAGGAGCGAGAGTCCATTATGAAGGAGTTCAGATCCGGCGCCAGCCGCGTGCTCATCTCCACAGACGTCTGGGCCCGGGGACTGGACGTCCCTCAAGTCTCCCTCATTATCAACTATGACCTCCCCAACAACAGAGAGTTGTACATACACAGAATTGGGCGTTCTGGGCGATATGGCCGGAAGGGTGTGGCCATCAACTTCGTGAAGAACGATGACATCCGCATCCTCCGAGACATCGAGCAATACTACTCCACCCAGATTGACGAGATGCCCATGAACGTTGCGGATCTGATCTGAAGGCCCGGCCTGCTGGGCGGCAGACGAGGTGGGAGTTGCTCCTCACCTATTACGGATTCTCACCTTGGAACCATCCACAGGCAGCTCTGATTTAACCAGAGCCCCTGTGGCCCATCCCAACAGAAGCTGGGGGTCCAACGGTCTTTTCTTACCCACGTGTAAATAATATTGTAGACTTTTTCATTAAAGATAAAACCTTTAAAAAAAATTCAACATAATAAATGAGTTATTTACTGTATACCTACATGTTGTTGTTGTTGTTAGGTGTCGCTGAGTCGAGTTTGACCCATAGGAACCCTATGAAAAACATAGCCCTATATTATTCTGTGCCAGAGAGCACGGTGCTGTGTATATGGGTGTTGTGTTGCAGTGGTCTCTGGAGAAGGGTGACTCTACCTCCAGGAGCCAGGGAAGCTACGCCTGGCCTTGGGTTGAAGGCAGCAGTGGCTTCAAGCCCAAAAGGAGAAGAGGAGGGAGGAGGCGGCCATAATCTCCCAGGTTTGCTCCACCCATGGTGGCTGTGATCCTTTGGCCAGAGAGCATGGTGCTGAGTATGTGGGTGTTGTGTTGCGGCGGTCTCTGGAGAAAGGTGACTCTGCCTCCAGGAGCCAGGGAAGCCACGCTTGCCCTTGGATGTGTCAAATGCGTTAATGGTTGGCTTCCCAATGCGGACAGAGAGTGGGGTGGAGCTCCCCGATTAAAACAAGCGTAGAAGGAGGAGTGGCATCCACTTCCATAATAACTTGCCTCCAGAAACCCTATGAACTTGGAGAGAGGATGAAAGGCACCCAAGCATCGAGGACTCTCCTTCATAAGGCCTCTATGAGTCACAACTTGACTGTACTTAACAACAACAACAACATCGAGAGAGAGAGAGAGAGAGAGAGAGAGAGAGAGAGATCAGCTGGCCCAGTGATGAGAAAACAATGTGACCAAGACCAAGGTGGGTGACTCTTAGTCTGCGGCCCTCAGGCCTGTCTTTCATTGTTTTTGTTCAGACATCCCTCTAGGTCGTATAGCCCTGGTGTACAAGTTGTTGTCCTGCGGTCAATTGTGGTTGCTGTGAGGCTGAACACTGTGACATGGATGTGTCAAATGCGTTAATGGTTGACTAGCCAATGCATACAGAGAGTGGGGTGGAGCTCTCCAATTAAAACAAGCGTGGAAGGAGGAGTGGCATTCACTTCCATAATAACTTGCCTCCAGAAAGCCTATGAACTTGGAGAGAGGATGAAAGGCACCCACCCAAGTGTTGAGGATTCTCTTTCATAAGGTCGCTATGAGTTGCCTGTGACTCGGCCGCACTTAAAAACAACAACATATGATTCTGTGTCATCCTCACACTTTCTGACACAAAAGAGCCCATTGCAACAGTCACTGTTTAAATCCTCCCAGTCTAGGGTCTTCTTCTCATTCACTGACCCTTTGACTATTGTGTCCCTTTCTAAAGAATAACCCCCTCTCAATAATATGTCCATAGTATCTGGAGCTAAGCTGTATCATCTTTGCTTCCAAAGAGCACTCTGGCTACATTTTCTCTAAAACATATTTGTTTGTTCTTTTGGCAGTCCATTGAATGGTCAGTAATCTCCAACACCACAGCTCAAAGGCATCAATTCTTCTGTCACCCTTACTCATTATTCAGTTCTCAGATGCATAGCAAGTGCATGGTCAGAAAGATCATAACCTGGATCGGACACATCTTAGTCCTCACACTGACATCATTACTCCTTAATAATTTGGAGAGGTCCCTAACTGCAGACTTCTCCAGGACAATATGTCTCCTGATTTTTGACTGCTGGTACCAAGAGTGTTAATTTTAGATCCAAGTTATTTTATAGGTAGATGTTGTTATAATTGCAAAGTCGTTTGTTATGGTTTGAAGACTATTCAAGTCAAACTTTCTAAAAATAGGACTAATGAATCAAAAATCTTACAGAACATGAGGCAGGCAATAAAGTAAAAGTATATAAAAGCCACCAAGACCTAAAATATGAAATTAAAGTCCAATTTACCACAATATCTCCTTGAATCCAAGGTTTAAAAGACTAAGGGAGAGAACAAGTTTTGAAACGAGGAAGGAAAAAAAAAATCTGAATTAGAGGATAAGTTTCAACAGCATAAATAGCAGAGGTGACTGATGTTAAAACAACAGACAGTGAAGGTATAGCCAGAGATCTATGGGGGCCTGATGTGATGGGGTGATAGAAGTCATATTAATTAATATATAAAATTAATAGTAATAGTAATCCATTATCTAAAAAAAATTTATAGACATGATTGGATAAAAGAAAATGTACATGAAAAAACAATGAATATGAAAAATGATGTAAAAGCGAAGGATTTGTAAAAAAACACAATGTTAATAAAAAGCAAAGTATATGAATAAGTGTATGGAAGCCAATTTTGTAAAATCAACAAAGGCAGGAATATGTTTATCATTTATATGTACTTTCTAAATAATGCATACGTTATCATAGTACATTATCTGGTCAATGATGTTGTTGTTGTTGTTAAGTGCCATTGAGTTATAGATGACTCATAGTGACCCTATGAGCGAAAGACCTGGACACTTGTATAACTTTCGTTGTTTCACCAAGTTCATAGGGTTTCCACAAGCAAGCTATTTCAGAAGTGGATGCCACTCCTGCTCCCAAGCTTATTTTAATCAGGAGCCTCCACCAAACGCTGTCCACCATGGGTAACCATTATCACATTTGACACATCAGTGTCCCAGTATTTAGTATCACAGTAACCACGAGTTACCTCTTACAACAAATGGACAGACCAGCGCTGTACCACTTAGAAGAATGATAGACCAAAAACAGTTAAAATAAGGCCTGAGGGCTACAGATTAGCATCATACACATTTGGCTTCGAAGGATAACCTTCTATCCACTAGACCTACAGAGCTCTCTCTGTGAGGTGGTGGTTGTTGTTGTTAAGTGCCGTAGAGTCGTAGAAGACTTATAGTGATCCTATGAACAAAAGACCTGAACAATTGTGTAACTCTCATTGTTTCTCCAAGTTCATAGAGTTTCCGGCCAATGATGAACCTACCTTGAATATCTGGTGACCTATTGTTGTTAGGTTTGTTAGGTGCCATCCAAATAAGTAAGACTCATATAAACATTTAAGACTCTATAAACAACAGACCTAAACTCTGCCCTACGCTGTGCCATCCCCACTATCTAATACACTTGGTTCCATTGCTGCAGTCTCCATGTCACTCTATCTTCCTCTCTTTCCAAATATGATGTCCCTCTCAAAGTAACACCCTCTCTTATCAACATTTCCAAGGTATGAGAGATGAAGATTTGCCGTCTCTTCCTGCCTTCAAAGAGTACTCTGGCTGTAACTTTTTTCCCTTTTTTAAATTTTATTTTATTTATTTTAATGAACGTTTACAGAGATTTTGGATTTCCATTCATTCATTCTTGCATTTTTCTTCCTGCTCACCTCTCCCTCTCGGTTCACTCTTCTCTTTGAAAGTAAAAGAAAAATTCTTTCATTGGTATACAATGCCTCCCGCCCCCCAAGTACACTCCACTATGCAGCCTTCATTCTGGACTCTTGTCATGACCATAATACCCAAGCATATATTGCTTTTAAACTGTTCTCTACCTCATCTGTTGCAGTACAGTCTACATAATTTATCCAATTTTTCTCAGTCTCACCTCAACCCTGATATCAGTCCCATTCTACAACAGTGGCACTATGCAGTATTTGTCTTTTTGTGATTGAGATACCACACTCAGCATAATGTCCTCCAGGGTCACCCATTTTGACTAATATTGAATGAGTTCCTTGTTTTTCATGCAGCATAGTATTCTATTTTGTGAATATACCACAGCTTCTCTATCCATTCATTTGTTGATGGGCACTTAGCTTGTTTCCAACTCTTTGCTATTGTGAACAAAGCCACAATAAACATGGCTGTGCATATATCTGCCTGGGTGCCAGTTACGGTTTCTTTAGGGTATATTCCCTGTAGTGGAATTGCTGAGTCAAATGGTATCTCTATTTGCAACTTTTGAGAAGGCACCATACAGCCTTCCATAGTGGTTGCCCCATTTTACACTCCCACCAACAGTGAATAAGGGTTCCAGTTTCTCCACAACCTCACCAGTATTTGTTGTTTGCTACTCTGTTAAATTTTGCTATTCTTACTGAGGTAGGATGATAGTTCATAGTTGTTTTCATTTGCATCTCTCTTAGAACTAGGGTTTTTGAACATTTTTTCATGCGCTTGTTGGCCATCTGAATGTCTTCTTTGGTGAAAAGTCTGTTCATATCCTGTGCCCATTTTTTCAATTGGATTGTTTACTTTTATCTTGTTGTGGTGCTCAAGCATCTTATAAATTCTATATGTAAGTCCCTTATTTGACATATCATTACCAAATACTTTTTTCCAGTCTGTGGCTTCCCTTTTTACCCTCTTGGAGAAGTTTTTGGATGTTCATAGAGATTTGATTCTTAGAAGGTCTCATTCAACTATTTTCTCTTCTCCTGGTTATAGATCTTTCAGAATGCCTGGAAGACTGTTTATGTTGTGGATAGGACTTCTAGTGTTGTTCCTAGCTTTTCTGTAATGAAGTTTATAGTCCTTGGTTTTAGTCTTAGGTCCATGATCCACCTAGAGTTGGTTTTTGTATATGGAGTGAGATGTGAATCTTGCTTGAGTCTTCTGCAGATAGTTTTCCAATTTAGCCAATACCATTTGTTAAAAAGGCTGTCGTTTCCCCACTTAACTGTTTTCATCTCCTTGTAAAAAATTAGTTGACCATAGGTAGTTGGGCTGATTTCCGGGATCTCAATTCTATTCCATTGATCTGCGTGTCTGTATTTGTACCAGTACCATCTTAACCCCCACGGCAGTGTAGTAGGATTTGAAATCAGGGAGTGACATGCCTACTACCTTTCTTCTATTTTCAAGGAGTTCTTTGTTTATTTGGGGCTTCTTTCCATTCCAAATGAAACTGCAGATTGCCTTTCCCATTTC